ACTGTAGATCTTCCGATCTCCCTTTGTCTTAGGCAGTCCGTTATCTCAGAAAGAGGTAGTAAACTGTGGTAAATTTGTACTATATTTTATCACAATCTTTGTTTTACTTCTTGTTCTTTCCTCATTATTCTTTTAAGACCTTTTGTACTACCAGAATGGCTGGTTTAAGTGTGTTGAGTCATCGAGATTTATCTGTTTTCCCTTGATAGAACAGTGCCAGTTTTCATACTTCTGCTTCTGTTCATAGTTCTGCCAAACTAATTAGATAAATATTTCAAGTCTGAAGATTAGTGCTTGATTTTAATTTCTATAAGTTTTAAACCATATTAGTAACAAAGTCTTTAATGCATATTATAAACACTTATCTGTGCTTCAGTAAGTAAATTATGGTTTAAATTAACAACTGTACCTGGGAGCTGGTAGGCTTTGTGATCAATAAGCATCTCTGTTTTTTACCATGCATCTTTTATATGGGTTTATGGATCCGGGTACAAGACTACTTGGAGTTTAATTTAGAATTTTTCAATGTTTTTTCTTGCTTTTACTCTCTTAATGCCAAGTGTTACACTTTTAAGAAAAGTGTAAACATACAGCTTTTATAAATCCTCAGTTTTCACTGACTCCACTATTTTACTTCCTTCAAGTGTTAGATACTGAATATGAAGTTGGATAGGAATTTCAATTCAGTTCTGCAATATATCATTTTGAACTATATCATAAATACATGTGAATACAGTACTATTTTATTTACTTAATGAATTAATACTTTCTAATTTTTGAATGTGACATCTTTCTATGGTGTCTGAATATATCCTTTTCAAACTTAAATACTGCAATTATATCATTAAACGTTCCTGCTTACTCCTTTCAATAAAAGAAATTGTAATTGCTGCTTCAAGCACAATAATTTTTCATTAATTCAAGAATACTGAACATCATTTCATTGTGTGTGCTATGCATTTTGTCAGATGGTGCAGTGGGAACTGCACTGAAGAATGGGTGTGAAGCTTCTTTTCTGCTCTTCAGTCTCTTCCTTCTTTACTGCCTCTTTGTTTTCTAGGTTAGTTTAGATGTGTCTTCCAACGGGGGGAACAAAAATGTGACAGCAAGCAAGAGATTTGGAATAAAAAGCAGTCTGTATTTTATTTCAGAGTTCTCTTAATTTTGAAGATGTTTAGTCAGCAGCAGATACCATTTTTACAAGTTTAGTAATCTTTCAACAACATGTAAATTTTTCTCCTCTATTAATAGGTACTAATTAGTTAAGAGCTTTAACTTTAAAAGCCTGGGGGAGTGGGGAAGCAGAAAGGCACAGGAGGAAAGGAAACAAACCAAACTTTTTCTTTCTTGAGTTATAGTTTTGAGAGAGAATAGAGATTCCCTTGGGTAATCACGTCCTCACTTTGTGTTACAAATTCATATAGAAATTTTTCTTGGGAAAAAGATTAGACCTTCTTCCCTAGTTGGGTAAGAAATTAGAAGGCTCTGGAATAGCCATATCTTAGTTCTGTTTTTCTCTGTTAATGTGCAAAGCCTTGCCTGAAAACAGAGGCAAACACAGTAATTCTGTACATAATCCAGTTACTATGAGCTCATACTATTGCGATTCTTTTTGCAGCACTTTGTGTAAATCGTGTAGTCAATAGTGCTAATCTATCTGTGATTAAGTTAGAACTTGAAGTGGCTGCAAAGATGTAAACATTCGTTTACTGATAGAGTGTTTTTACAGCTGGCTGCTACATAGGTGCTTGCTCATAGGCCTGAAGAAAATACTTCTTCCACAAAACTGACAATATTTGTGTCTTTAAGTAAACAGTGCACTGCGTTTTGGGTTCAGTGCTTACAGTATTCTATGGACTTCCAACCAGTCTGTGTGCTATGCAGTTAGACTTGGTGCTACAGAGTATTTGAGCTAACAAAATATGCTGTAAAAGACTGAGTTAATTTTGGTGACTTACTGTTTCATGGAATGATCAGTGACTGTGAAGGTCTGGTTAGAGTAGGTGGTCTTTTTTTTTTTTAAGGAAAGCAAAGCCAAAAAAAAATATACCTCAATTTCTGTTTGTCTGTATTGTAACTTACCAAGTATTCCCAATTTTTGTTAATTTTGAATTAAGAAGAATTAAAAGCTCTGAGTGTGGATGGCGAGACTTCCCCATTGTATCTGTAAAACTGATTGCTGTAGGCTACACTTTTTACTAAAGCCCTTTCAACTTGTACCATGTACACAAATAGGTAATGTTCAGAGGGCGGGTTTGCTTCCAAACTGTTGTTTGTCTGTAGTTTCACTCATAGTAGAAGGGAATTGATACCACCAGGTATGAACAAAGATGACAGAGTAGGTACAAGCTTAATCAGAATAGAAACTGGATAGTGCCAATTCTAGAAAAAGCTGTACGTGTGTCAGTGGAATAATCATAACCAATCCTAATAAAAATGAACCAGCTGTATCGATGTGCTGTTTGTCTTGGATAAGGGAGTTCTGGTGAAGTTGTGGTTTTGCGAATGATAATTTTTCTTGTTTGTTCTTAACAGGAGCTCACCAGATGTTGTTGTTGGCAGTGTTTATAACACCTCTTAATGATATCTACTCTGACTTCTCAAAGTTTCTGGAGATGATAGAAACAACATTGGACATGGATAAGGTATGGGCTGATGTGTGGGAGGGGGTTTACTTAGCAATTAAAGTTTCTTATTGAACTTGGCAATCTGCTCTACACTCACTAAATTTAATAGATCATCCATATTAAGTAGTTAGTGATAGTTTAGCTGTGGAATACATAAAGACTGTTATTAGTATAGCAGTTGAATACCAAGAGGATGTTCACCCACTGTCTGAAATGATCTAGCCAATGAAAATTGCTTTGGGTACGTGGATACTGTGGACCTGAAACTATTTTTTTAAAAAAACATCAGTATTAAAAGTGGGGAAGTTATTTTGTCACTTTTCCTGCTTCTTTATATTTTCAAAGTTACTGTTCTGTCACAAATCTAGATTGTAGACAGAATGTTTATTACATGTTTCTCTGCTTCTGTAAAATTCATAAGACTTGGTTCTATTTGCTGGGATTAAGTTTTCATAATTAGCAGTTTGCATTTCTGAAAAATGGTTGACCTAGGTACAAAGGTTGACTTTACTTTCCAGTGTAAAGAGATTTCTCACTAGAGGCAAAGCTACTAGAATAATCTTAGCCTTGCCTCTACACTTGCTTATAAATTATTACTGATGACAGGACTATGCCTGCCAGGGAAAACTGGCATTTTTTTTCAGGGAAAAAATTATCTGAAGAAAGTTGAAAGGAACATTCCTGTTCCTTAGATCTGTAGCAGAAAGGCAAAGGGATGAGTATAAGTGACTGATTTATTGTTGTTTAACAATGAACGCTTAGGACACAGGCAAAAATATGAACTGTCGCTTAACTGGGTGATTCAAATGCCAAGGTTTTTAGTGAGTTCTGTACATGGTTTTTTCCATTATATTTGTTAGGGAAGTGGCGAGATGCATTTTGCAATGTAGGTGCTTGATTAATAAACGTATTTTGTGTTCCTTTCTCAAATAGTTGTTTCAGTCAGTTTGGAAAACTTGAGAGTCTTTTAGGATCATCACAAGTGTCGATCTCAGCCAACTATAGACGTATGAGATCTAGCTAACCATGTGTCAGGCATGCTAGTAAGGGTAAGGAGTTGAACTTCTGGAAGCTGCAGTGGCTTTTAAATTTTGAATATGCAGCTTTTTGTCTCCAAAGGCAAAAGCACCACATTTTATCTTTGTGTTGTGTATGCATTCATCAACTGCATTTTACTGTTTAAGGAAAGACTGTTTGATTGACATGTTGCTGTAATTTGTGATATATGCTAATGAAGAAATTTATAGCTTTATACTAGTTACACACCATCTGTTGATGCAGTTTGTATGCCCTGGGACCCTGTTTTCTTTAAGACTAACAGCTGCTCTAAGCCTTCACCCTTTATAGTCCAGCTCTCCAAATTTCTTTTCAGCTTCTACTTTAAAAATGTTTTGTTGTCCTTCTAAACAGAATAACAAGTCAGTTATTTTTAATCAAGTCTTGTAGAATCTGGTGTGTCAGATTTCGTTTTTTTGCCCTTCAACACTCTATGGAAAATGGCTACAGATTAAGCTAAGGCTGGTTTTACCAGAAGAATAAACCTTGTTAAAACTTCAACTGTGACTTGAAATTCATCTTAGATTTTTAGGGAGTTCAAACAAAATATCCACTTCTATTCTGAGTGTGATTGAAGGAGAGGTTGTCGTAGCAACTAAATTATGTCAATAATCCTTTCTAATGTAAAAAGAAGCATCTAAGTTCAAAAACTGTGGGATGTGGTTCTTGATTTACTTAACTGTATTAAAAGTTAGGAATGGAAGTGTCTCATTCTTATCTTTTACAAAATCATAAGAGGCCTTTGAAAACGCATGTACTCCAACCTCCTCCTCAAGTCAGGGCAACTTCAGAGATTAATAGTGCTTTTGCTACATAGTGGGTTTTGTTGGAGTATTAAAAGCAGAGCCCTTCACAGAAGAACTTGTTTGTCAGATGAGCTAGCTAGCTCAACATAGTCCCAGAGTCTGCAAATTATTTGCTATTACCTCATTTATTTGACCATCCCTTGGAAATGTGACTCACTTGGGTCTTGTTTCATGTAAGTAAACATATGCAGGTATGAATGTGTTGTCAGTGCTCTGATGTTAGTCAGCTACTTACCACATAAAATATTTTATACCTTGAACATTCATTTCAGCGTAGCTCTGAGCAAAACCTTACACTAAAAGAAAAACCATTTGTATTTAATGGAGTACTGAAATGTAGTTTAGACTTAAGTGCATTTCAGCAATCAGTGTGTCAGTGAAAGCTCACAGTGATGATTAATATTTTCATTTTTCTTTTGGGGAGATGAGAGGGGAATGAGTTGGGTTTGCTGGTATTTACTTCATTTTTTTTCTGGTCAGATGTGGCCTTATTGGACCAGAACTGATAATAGATTCATTAGATGCAAATCACTCAATTGTCACACTTCTGTTAATACTTGTCCTGGCAGCTTGTTGGCCATGCTCACACTGAGAGCTGTGGAAGAGAAAAGCAAAAAGTTTGCTTTAAGTCACTTAATGTTACATATCACTATATGATGAGCATAGATGTAATTCTAATGTAATGTAATTTTCCCACATATGGAGCTCTAGCCACATATGGATCATTGCTTGCAGTGAGGAGACCCTGAAGGGTGGAAGTGCAGGGCATGGCTTTGGTAGTGGTGAACCTCTCTGACATGGCAGCCTGGGTGAAGGCTGGAACCAACAGCCATGCTGGGTGCCTTGCTGGGGAGGCTGGAGTGCTACGAGTCCTTGGCAATGTAACCTTCCTCCTCCTGAGGTTGTAGGATTTCTGTGCTTTATTCCAGGCTTTGCATAAGTCTTCAAAGCTATGAAAAAATTGCTTTTCACTTGACTTGGTTTTCTCATGAAGCTAGTTGTGTCAAGAGCTGACATGCATGTTGTTTGTATCCCAGCCTTTTCTGTTTCTCTTTCAGATCCAGGATTTTCCTCACAAAACTGGGAATGGTCTTTGCTGCTGTATGTTCTGTCATAAATGTTCATTGCTGTTCTTTTAGCAGAATTATTAAGGGAAGGGGAGGAGCAGGCCTATCTACAGGGATGTAACAGGGAATGAGTTCATACCCTTTTCTTAATATCTCTAAGTTTCAAGGTGACCCTCTAAAATCTCATAATCCATTGTTTTTTGGATTCCACATCTCTGGTTAAGCAACTGGAGAACTTTGCCACTGCATCATGTTTGCACACAACACAACCAGGACCAAAATGGGAGGCCAAGTGTAATGCTTTGCAGTGCTGGTATTGCACAGAGAAAATAAGCACCAATGGTTCAGCTTTCCATGATGCAAATTCTGTGGAGGATTAAATTATGTACTGGGAGAAGATCATTCTCTGAGTAAAGTAGCAATCTTTTGAATATACAGTATGCGGTGCGGTGTCTTCATACATTAATTTCATCCCTCCATTCCAAATCCAAATGTATAAGCCTCGTGGCTTTCATCTTCAGGTTGCATCCCCAGGTCTTTGTCCCAAGTTGCTGTAAAACTTGGGAGCCTTCAGTCTAACGCTTGTTCAATTGTTTTGATGCACTGTAGAGTTGAAGTGGCTCTTCTTCTTAGTGGAACAAGATGCATGTGGTGATTCTTCTAGTTAAAGTTCCTGTTGCTCAGTGCTTTCTGGAGTAGTAATTTTATTGTCGGGGAAGGAATAAAGGAACTGTGAACTTCCTTTTTCTCTTCTCCTTCCTCCTATTGTTAACATACTTGTGGGTAAAAGTGAAGTTGAAACCATCAATTTTGGTATGTTTTGCAAAGTATTTGCAGCTGCTTTTTGTACAACTTTGCAGGTAATTCCCAGCTAGGGAAACCTTCATGAAAGTGTTGGGTTGTTTGTGAGTTTGTTTTTTTTAACTTAATTAGGTTAAGTATGTTACTAATATAGAAGCCAGTAGTTCGTTTCTGTGTCAGACAGCAGGGCTAATATTCTGTTGATTTTAATATACAAAGTTTTACAATCTTTACAAACTTTGTATATTAAAAAGTGAGTTTCTTTTATTTAGCAGTTGGAATTTGTGCTTGCATATTAAATTTGAGGTTTGTAAATTCATCAGAAACACACACCTGGCAGTGGAAGCATGGGGAAGAGAGAGGAAAAAAATGAAGCAGAACTTACTTCATCTGTGCCTCTGAAAATGTTTAACTTAGAAAGAAGTGTATATGCTTTTCAACTCAAAATAACTGTGTTGAAATTGAGTAGGATTTTTGGTGAGATTATGTAGGCTCCTTTCATAACCTTTTGAGTGTGTTTTGGGCAGGAATTACTGTCTCAGAAACTTCTCTTTCCAAACATGACTTGTTCTGAAACACTTTATCCTTTTAAACTGTGTGTTGATTAGCTTCAGAAGTCCAGGCTAGCATACGAATTACTACAATTTCCTCAGACTTCCTTTTTATTGCTGCCTGCTACTCAGCTCTTTGTATGCAAATAAGTGTGCAGATAACTCCATTTCAATGTAAAGGAATTTGTTAAATTGCTGTGCTTTGCTTGTATAAAGTATACTATTTGAGAAAACAAGTGTTTGTGATGTATCTGTCTTGTATTTCGATCAGAAATTATCACAAACTGGATTATATTACAAAATTATAAAGAAGTAGTAAATTATTAAGTAGATTAATTTCATTCTGTATGATCAGGGAGGTGATTTTTTTATTTTTCCTTTGCTGGCTATGTTTACATGAATTTTTTTTTTTTGTTGTTATTTTTCCCTAGGTCGAGAATCATGAATTTCTTGTCAAAGCTTCTTTTGATCCTAATTTGACAGAATTAAGAGAGAAGATGAATGAACTGGAAGAAGAAATGCAGTCCATTTTGAAGAGTGCAGCCAAAGAACTAGGTAGGGTATGAAACTATCTCTGATTCTTACTTCCTTTATAAAATGTTTTAATGTGGTGAAAACTGGTATAGAAGAGTTAGGAGATGTTTGTATTATTTTATTACTAGTTTTGGTTAACTTTAGTTGTCACAGTATAATCTGTTGAAAACTGTGATTTTTGGTTTATCATTTTTTTTTTTTCTAAGTATGACATTCCAGAATCTTTCAGAAATTATGTATGTTGCAAGATAATCCAGAATTAATTTTATAGAACTATAACTTGTCAAACTCTTGGCTAAGCCTACTTCTATTCTGCATTCTTTGAAGACATGTATTGAAACTTTTCTCCCCTGTATGTTCTCCTGAGTGTCCACTCAGGGCATGCTAGGTTTTTTTTTTAAAGTTATTTGAAAAATTTAGTGTGTAAGCAAATGAGACACTTAAATAATTGATTATCCATTGCAAAAAAAATTTCATGTGCAGCTGATGAATTGGGCATTCAAAGAGCAATTTAAATAAATTTTTAATGCAAATATGGGAAGGAAGACTAGCAAAACAGTAGTTATTTCAGGATACACCTTTAAGGGCTTGCATTTTTTTTGTTTTGATTTTTTTTTTTCTTCAGTGTAAACAAGATACCTGGATGAAAAAAAGGAAAGACAAGATTGTGTAGGAATGAGAAATATCACCAGCAGAAGTATGTGTTAGTAAAAATATCACAAGACTACAGGTGCTGTGCTTACAGCAGCAGTATGGAATGTCCTTGCAGTGTGCTGTGGACATGTTTCACATTTCTGGAGAGCATTTAGCAATACAGTAATTGTGAAGCTGATCTGAATATGCAGTTTGAGAGTATATCAAAGAAAGAGCAGAGAATGAATCAGTAAACCTCTGTTAGATCTGGGTATTTCTCATGCCTGTAGGAGACCCAGGTAGGAACAGTGGATGGTGTATCTAGAAGAGGCTACATCGTAAAAACTGGGGCTTAGTAAGCAGAAATAGCACAGGCTGCAGGATTTTTGTAATAATTTTCTTTTCATCTAAAAGGTTTGGAAGCTGGCAAAAGTATCAAACTGGAGACAAATTCACAGTTTGGACATCACTTTCGAATAACCTGCAAGGAGGAAAAAGTTCTCCGTAACAATTCAAAATACACAATAGTTGATACACAGAAGAATGGTGTGAAGTTTACTAACAGGTATGAAATTATCTTGGTAGTTTTTCCAGCCTGTTGTGAAAGAAACAGAATTGTTCCTTTCTTTATAATTGTGCTGATAAACTGGTT